TGCAACCCATCATTGGATTAATAAACATATGTAACACGTGTTATTTAAATCCAGAAGAGTTATTTCGCGTCTCCTTCCTTTTTGCTACTCCCGATATCCTCTGTCCCTTATTCCAATTACCAGGAGTGAATAAGACGCAAGGAAACCGCAAGCTGCCGCACGAGAGGAGGACCGGATTCCACCCACTGCCGAAGACCCCAGTGATTGCTGCATTGCATTATCATTCGCGCCTCCCTACGCAGGTAAGAGATTTGTGATTCCACGTGGCTGTCTCAGCGCGGCGCCATATTCGATACCGTGGCGTCACTCCATTGCGTTACCACGTGGCGCATCATCAGCTCGCGTATAACTCGCGCCGTAAGTATCCGTGCCGCGTCAACTAATCGTTTAGGCATCACCGATTGGCTCGGCTCGTGATATAGCGCGATTTGTTATGTGCCCTCGCATTGTAACGATAGAGTCGCGTAACAGGGGGGTGGATAGCGACGCGTATCGTGCTCGGCTCAATGACTCATTTTGCTCAAGGTCACGCGTTTATTTGAACAGTATTAATAAAGAAATCCTCTGTGAAAGTTGTCTTAGCGTGGAGTTGCCGCATACGCACGCGGAGTATAATCTCACCGACCGCCACTCCCTACACTTCGGTGCACCCAACCGCCTCGACCAATGCGCCCGCTGTTCTTTGACGCTCACTATTGGACAGCCAGTCGGAAATTGCGAGATTTGCACTGAGGTACGAGCGCGATTTGTCAGATACTTGGTCGGAACGGGTGATCAACCGTGGAATGCTCCTGAGGGTACTATGGTAGCTATCTCACAGGAATGCGTCCAGTCGTAGAATATTGTAAATTTGCAAGATTTCTTCGCGCGGCGGGCACCTGATTGGTCAGTGGATCTCTATTCGAGAGGCATCGAGTTCTCTTAAGGTACTTAAATCGGTGGGTGGCGGTAGGCGCTGCACGCGAGAAATTGTCGCGGCTGGCACTGCGCTGCAGTCGCCGCCGAGCCGTAACAATATATTACAGATTTTTAGTACTGGGTGTATATCTATTATAATGCGATATTATTCAAGTTTGTCGCGTCAAATACTCGAACAGACTCGTTAGAGTGAGTAGGAGCTATGTGGTAAGCATGCGATAGCATGCGATATGAGGAAATGCGTTTGGTTTCAAGGCTGACGCGCTGTATAGGGCGCTCAGAGGGCGTAAGCTTAAGCTGGCCGCATACGATGCATGATTTTCATGCTTACTCTCTTGCATGTTGACCAATGCATGCTGCTTTGCTCGGTTCGCTGCATAAACGTCATCACACGAAGGTGACAACCGTGGTGGTTTTAACCTATATATTTCACATATGCATGACATCAATCAATCACGTGAGTGATTCTTAACGTTTTGATTAGCGTATGCAAGAAAACGAGCATGAAATAATGCACCATATTAAACACAGAAATCAAGGATGGTGGTATACTTCACTCAATGCACCACGATGTTTAGCATGCATCAGAGCAGGTACAGCAGCATGTAAACCCATTATAGAGGAAATCATGCATCGTGTGCGGCCAGCTTTACAGGCATAAGTTTCAGAAAATCTATATTATCGACCTTGATTAACTTCGACCGTCACTCCAGCATCCCCTTGATGCCGCGAGCGCGGAAGAAAAAGTTAAAGGGCCGACTCTACGAGCCAACAATCATGAGCGTCATAAGAACGGTCCAAACTAAAATTTAAAAAATTCGGGCATACAATGCAATAAATGCGGGAAGATAGGGCATTTCGAGCGAGATTGCCGATCAAGCCGTTATGCAAGTAAAATTTCATTGCCCCGAGCCGATAAACCAGCAAGTATAAATTCCGTCGAAAAATATTGCATATATTGCAAAAGAGCAGGACATAACAGAAACGAGTGCTGGTTATTGAATGGACGGCCCGACAAGGATCCAAAACAACGTGTGAAACGAGACACCGACTATAAAACGAAGCGTGTAAACTCTGCCGTAAGGATAAGACGGAACAAGCAGCACAGCGAGAGCGAAGAATCGTCGTACGCTAGCAGCGAAGAAGAAAAGGAGAAAAGGAGGACGCGAAGAACGCGAGCCGCGAACGAGCATCAAATTACGCAAGTGACCGGGAAGTACGCCAATACCGGCCTTAGACTTGTAACATTACCGATCAAAGAAATGAAGAAAGATCGGATAAATCTTTTATTAGATACAGGCGCTATGCTTTAATTAAAGTAGGAAACTTAAAAGGCGAGACGCTCATACGAGAAAAGCCAATGGCCCTTACCGGAGTGACAGGTCATCAAATAAAAACTATCGGAAAAATAAGAGCAACAGTGCGTTTAGGTGACACGGAAATACGACATACTATGCATGTCGTAAAAGATGATTTCCCTGTCGATTACGAAGGAATCCTTGGAATTTTCTACAAAAGCACAAAATTAAGATTGATCAGAAAAACTATTTGCAAGTTGACGCAATAATATTAAAGCTCTACCCGTATCAAAAAATAACTCTGATTCCGCGCAGTGAAACGATAGTGCGCGCGGTCACAGATAAGAATCGTGTGGGAATAGTACAATCAGAGGAAACTAGACCAGGGATATTTATAGGAAATTGTCTAGTAGCACCCGATGAATATACGTGCCCAGTAAGCATGCTAAATACAACGGGGGAACCCATCGAAATAATTACGCCACTCGTAACAATAGAAGAGTTGCAGGCGAGTGACCAAGAGAACGTACTCACACTACGAGAAACAGGTAACGTGAGCGGCACACTAACACTACCGCGTACGAATGCAGATAAGAAGCGAGCATCTAAATAACGAAGAGAATAAAGCCATTGAGCAAATATGCGAGGACTTCAACGATATTTTCCATTTGGAAGGAGATGTGTTAACGCACACAACAGAGGTAGCGTATGAAATTAATACGCGCACCGATAGTGCACCGGTCAATGTGAGACCGTATAGGCTACCGGAAAAGCATAAAGAAGAGATGACCCGGCAGATAGACAAAATGTTAAGGGACGAGATCATTCGACTTAGCTTGAGTCAGTGGAACAGACCGCTACTGGTTGTTCCAAAGAAAGGCGACATTCCAGGAAAACCAAAATTGCGAATTGTAATAGATTTTCGGAAACTTAACAATTTGACGATAGGCGACTCGTTCCCCCTGCCAAATATCACCGATATCTTAGATCAGTTAGGGAAATATTTTTCAACCTTAGATCTAGTGGCTGGATATCATCAAATTCCTATAGTAAGGAACACAGGAATAAAACTGCTTTCTCCACCTCGCATGGACACTATGAGTTTAACCGGATGCCGTTCGTGTTAAGAAATGCACCCGCGATGTTTCAAAGGCTAATGAACACTATATTAGTCGGGATACAAGGTTTGAGATGTCTCGTATACTTAGATGATATAGTTATCTATGGGTCAAACCTGGATATATTCCACTAAGGAAAGCCAGAAAATTTCTATTCCTTGTAATGATATAGAAAATAAATTAATAATTAATGGAACGGGTAGAATTAAATTAGGCGGGAATTGTAAACTAACCACCCCAGACTTAACCCTACGAACCAAATCGTTAGTGAGGGTACATTATATTAAAGAATACCTTCCCGAGTATAACTTAACGTATCATTTCGAAAAGGACATTAATAGTAATCTCCCAAAGCGTATTCTTCTGAAACAATTAATTAAAGATCCAAAGGAATTAACCGAATTAAGTCTACGCATAAGAGACATCGAAGAATACTTAGGAAAAAATAGTAACCATGTATTCAATAATAAATATATCATGTATCCTATAGGAACAGGCACTGTTATTTTAACCATAATTAATATTGTATGCATAACCCTGTACATATTACGTAAGCGGAGACAAATGCGGAAAGATACCGAAATGCAAAAGCGCAGCAACGACGCCATGTTATATTAGCGTTAAGAAACGATTATAAAAATAAATGTAAACCGGGAAAAACATGTATACTGAAACTCGTAACCTCGTTTCCTTTCCCAAGGGGGGAGGAATGTCACGAGTGCTAAATTGCTCAAGTGACAATTGCGCCACGAAACGTGCCAAACGATACTCTAACAGTTTATGAAATCATATTATTTGAATTAAAGAAAAGAGTATCAATCAATATAAAAGAAGACCCTGAGAAATGCAGACTCAGATGTTGCGCGAATACTGGTCTCGTCCGATAAGCGGAACGCTGACGGATCAGCGCGGATGGCCCAAGGCTGACCAAAATATCAAATATAAGCGCGACCCCATCTGCGGCCGAGGGTCAGAAAATCGGTCAAGTTAGTGAGCATAACGCGTCGCGTTGCGCTGTCCGAATTATAATACTTATATCGCGACGCGAATACCGAATAGTGAATTGTGATTGTAAATCAATACAACTTGTGACTTGTAGAAATAAATGTGTTATATTTTACTAAAAACTACAAAATAGTGTTCACTTGTGCGACCCTTCCTCGAGTCCTGCGTGGATCCCGGACCGTGCCGTACAGCGGCACAACATCCCCTTCTCCTTAAATTTGGAGATCTTCTTGTCAGGGTATATATATCTCAGTGTTCAACTTGAGGTAGCACTTTACGATAATTTCGACAAGAATAACGAGATAAGTACAACTCTTCCATGATCGAATGAGGATACGAGATTTCAAGATATAGGTAATATTACAGTTTTTACACATTATTAATATTGTTTGTTAAAAAGTTATGATAATATCTAATTGGGCATATATATTTTAGTTTGGCAATTATAGCTTGATGTTAACTATCCTTGTAAATAAGATTGTATATTGGAGGAATTTTCGCATTAATCGATAATTTCATCACATGACTAAATACTCAATAATATTAGATTGAGTTTCGAATCAGTAAATCGAATACGCTAATAGAGAATGGATTGCGCGATCCGTATTTAAGTATATAGATCGAGTTAATTTGAGCTAATTTGATACACTATAGTGTATCAAATGTGGTCGACAATAATGAGAGAGAGGGACTACTATAAAATATAAAACTTTGTATTTTATTTTGCAGGCAGACAAGACATTTTGCTCAAGACAAAACAAGACATTTTGCTCAAGACAAGACATTTTGCTCGCAGACAAGAGAATAATATGCAGGAAAATAATAGTATTTCCCGCGACCGCATGTGCAACGGGTCGTGTTCGTCGGCCATCAAGGCCTCATACGCTGTTAAGCGTCTTCCCGCGACCGCATGTGCAACGATATTTTCAACCGATATCGCATTTTGTCTCCAGAATGCTGCAACCAGTTTCTTATATGTTTTACAATTAATGCGATAGTACAATAAATAACGAAGAATTGTCCACGCAGCTTTATCAAAGAAGTGCAGACATGGGTTTAAGAGTGCCGTTTAACCTAGCATCGTATTCCTTGCTGACTTACATGAGCTGATGCTCATGTTACTGGATTGATTATGGAAGTTATATAAAGTTATATGCTTGTTAATTTCATTGAAGAGCTTGTGCTTCCTTCAACCGATATCGCATTTTGTCTCCAGAATGCTGCAACCAGTTTCTTATATGTTTTACAATTAATGCGATAGTACAATAAATAACGGAGAATTGTCCACGCAGCTTTATCAAAGAAGTGCAGACATGGGTTTAAGAGTGCCGTTTAACATAGCATCGTATTCCTTGCTGACTTACATGAGCTGACGCTCATGTTACTGGATTAAAGGTAAGGATCGCGATACTCCGCACTCAAATTCCAGACAAATCTTGTTCTATTTTTTATTTCCTTTTATTTTTCAGCCAGGAGAATTTGTACATACAATGGGAGACTGTCTACGTCTACGTCAACCATATAAGCGCCCTTGAGGAACAAGTAAAACGCGAACCGCGCGAGTTTCCAAACTTAAGGATAGTTAGAGAAGTTAAAGATATTGACGATTTCATTGCCGAGGATTTCGAATTGATAGATTACAATCCATACTCCAAACCCTACATGAAGATGGCTGTGTTAAATAAAACGGTTGCAAAACTGTTGAGTCTGCTGAACGCAGCCATTGATAGATTTAAAAAAAAAACAAAAAGCAAGAACGAGAAAGCAGTCGTGTAACTCTTAGTCTGTCGTGAAACAAATGAAGATATATCTACAACATTCTTTTTTTCTGCGTCTCCATTGTGTGCAGTTGAAGTGGTCGAAGTTTTTCGTCCTTCGTGGAAAAACAAATCTTTATAAAAGCTATTGGATTACAAGGCTATTGGAAATTAGTATTCCTATACGAAGGAATTAAAGGAGTCAAGGAGGTTTAAATAAAGCCTACGTTACATCTACACGGACAAAAGGCTTTTTAAGAAAAGGTGCGTAAGTCGATAAATTTCTAAACATTTTATAGAAAAGAATTATAGAAATATTTTTAAAAAACGATTTTTCCTATTTGCCTTTTATTGAAAATCACTCTTTTTCAATCACTCATTTTCGATTTTTCCTATTTGCCCTCTATTGAAAATCACTCATTTTCATGTGTGAAAATGTGTGAAATTTCATTTTCACTCATTTTCAATTTTTTATATACATTTATCATAAAACGTAACAATATTTAAATCAAATGCATTTTCCCATTTTATAATTGAAGCATTTTTTAACGGAATTAAGGACTTAATAATAATATTTGCGTCTTTGTATTTCCAGTGACTAATTACAGAAACTCAAAAACAAGTATTGAAAGAATAAAGAAAAAAGAGAAAATAAAAGAATGGACGCAAAATAAAAAAAGGAAATATTGAAATAAATTAAATTAAAAAAATTAAAAAATTGAATTAAACAATATAGACAATAATAAGATAGGCGCGCAGTCATATGTTTGAGAATTGATTTAAATATGTTACAAATTTTTTATTTACATTAATTTAAATAATAAATAAAATATAAATTGAGCTCTCGAAATATTAACAAAATTTAATGAATAACGACTAAAAATCGGGCGATTGAGAGCTAAAGAAAGGACGCAGTTATCAAGTGCGTATAATAAGAAAATGTATTCGCAATAATTTTTACATCACCTCACAAGAGGTTCCACATAGTTTAAATCGTACGTTTCGGCTTCTTTTAAGCCATCCTCAGCGATATCTAACAATACTTCTATCCTGACGATCCAAAGGGAGCAGCCGGAAGAGCCTCTTCAATTCCACATTTTGAGAAGCCTCATTGTCAGATTGATTGATGAGTCAAGAGATAACAGCTGCCAACTTTGATCTCATATAAAACGCAAAGGCGGAAAAATTACGTAAATAGTAAAATAAGTCCCACTAAACCTGCAAACACCACTAGAAACATTGTACCACATATTGAGAAACACCCATATTCAATCCAAGTGTTTGACAGTGAAACTGATGAAACGGATACAAGTTCTGACGACGGAATCAGCAATGAGGAAAATCTGCCTAACGCTGAAGAAATCAATGATAATGAGGAAAATCATTCTCATAACGATGACGAACTATTTAACAACCAACAAATTAACGATGAAAATCAGGTTTTAGGTAACAGTATACTTTTTGTCACGGCATATATGCAAACTTACTTTTATATAGAAATTAAATAATTTTTAATATATTTTTATTATTTCGTATATATATAGATCCAGAGATTGTTCTCCCACTTGAACATGTAAATGTAAACGGCGATATACGAGAAATTTGTGGTAAGTTATATTTTTCTTTAAAGTTCTTTAATAAAAAAATGTAAAGAAATAATCCTGGGATACAAAATATTTTAAAGTTATTTGTAACATTATTGGAAAAATTTATATCTATGCTGATAATGATTAAAATGTGAATGGTACATACACACAAATGCTTTCTTTTGTTGCAGATTGTAACAAATTAATTCGCCACCAACTTAATCAGTTTGAAACAGAGATGAGAAACGAAATAATTAAAAATATAACAAAATTGCAGGAAATACTTGCAATTTTAAGAGATAAATATCCAAGAAATGAAGGAAACAATGAAGTAACTATGGATTTAATACCTGATTTGCCATTTACATCCGTCGAGGAGTATGTTCAATTTAACGAGACACTAAAAAATAATGAAACAATTCGTAAATGTTTTGTAAGTATTTTTTTATGTATGAATAACTACAAAAATATGATATATATGAATGTACATATATAGGATATAGATAATTCACGGTGAATTATTTAGGCATTAATAACAGCTTTGACCGTCATAGGCTTGAATATGATTATACTTATGTTAGTGTTTTAATTTCAACGGTCCTAATAAATCTGATTTTTTTTTATGTAATACAATGCATTTCCTTATAATTTCTTTTTTTTTAATTAAAAATATATATTTTAAATAAATTTAATATATGTTAAATAAATTTATTGGAAATATGGCCGAGTCCTAATAATAAAAAATATGTAATGTACATTAATAATAATTATTATGTACACGTTATTCTTTGCAGGAGAAAAAGATAAAGAGTTTTGGCGGTGATTCTTTACAAAAATTTATATCAAATATACTCACAAATTGTCTAACATTTGAAGTAGGACACAAGTTATCCTGGACTGGTGCTAAAAATACTATAGCAATTTCGAATTCTCCTTTTGCTAACAGTATAATTGGTAAGTGTACTTTTGCAATAAATGACTAATATATTAATGACTAATGACTAATATATTCGTCCCTGTATAAAATAAAATTTACTTGTTTCTAATAAAATTTATTTTACTAATGTCAATATGTATATATTATTCGTAGGAGTTGTAAGTCGTACAAAAGAACCAGATTGCACAATCGCATTAATTATAAAACATATAAGAAACTGGTTGCAGCACTCTGGAGACAAAATGCGATATCGACTGAAGAAAGCACAAGCTCTTGAACGAAATTAATAAGCATACGTACATAGCACCATCGTAAATATTATACACATAAGTATCTTAATTCTTTATCTTAATTCTTTATCTTAATTCTTCTATAATCAAAAAATTGGTCTTGATTATTAATTAATTAATAGCATTGGCATATAGGTTGTGTAATTATGCAAGTATTTTACACATTTAGTTGTCTGTTTTATATAATTATAAAATAACAATTGTACTCCATAATTAAATTTGTGTAAATGTATGCATCTTTACACATATATAATGCTATGATGCTAAAAAATACTTGTTTCGTACTTATGGTACATAACTGTTTATGTTAATTAAAACACGAAACATAAGAAAAAAATTTAAGATGGCGATAAATTATAATAGAAATAGATAAGTAATGTATGGATTGTAATTAATGAATGGTGATGGGATATGTTCATATGTGTATACTACATGCTTTGCGTCCAAATATGATAAACTAAACAATTTTCTGAACGATGTTTATCAATTCTAATTCATATATTCTCAATTCTAATTTTTTACTAACTAGGAAGTTATTTAGATATTTCTACGAAATTATTGCATATATTACACATACAGTAATATAATACTGATCATTTATGAATGTTGTAATACTATATTTGATTATAATTATAAGTTTTTATGTATAAAATTCACAAATATAATTTATTATATTTTATAAATGAAGTGTCTATTTCTTTATATAAAAAAAAACAGTATGACAATGTTAAATTTATTAATTAAAAATTGTTGTTCACAGCGCGAGCGCGTTGAAAACAGCAATTTTCAATTAATAAATTTAACATTGTCATGCTATGTAACTTTTAAGATCTACAATACGTTTTTCAAGATATCTAAAAGATATCTATTAGACATCTTTAAAACATTTCAAACATCTTCATCGGATATCTAAAAGATATCGTTTAGATATCATTAAAGCATTTCGAACATTTTCGCCGGATATCTAAAAGATATCTTTTAGATATCTTCAAATTCGATATAAGATATCTAAGGATATCTTTAAGATATCTCTAGATCTATAAAAGACATCTCTAAATGTTGCATAAGACATCTTTTAGATCCCTAAAAGATGTCTTTTCGTAAAAAATGAAAGACATCTGAAGACATGCCAAGACATCTTTTAGAAATATAAAAGATGTCTTTTTGTCTATGTGGGAGTAATCTTCCAAAGCGTATTCCTCTGAAACAATTAATTAAAGATCCGAAGGAATTAACCGAATTAAGTCTAGGCATAAGAGACATCGAAGAATATTTAGGAAAAAATAGTAATCATGTATTCAATAATAAATATATCATGTATCTTATAGGAACAGGCACTGTTATTTTAATCATAATTAATATTGTATGCAAAACCCTGTACATATTACGGAGAAAAATGCGGAAAGATGCCGAAATGCAAAGGCGCAGCAACGACGCCATGTTATATTAGCGTTAAGAAACGATTAAAAAATAAATGTAAACCGGGAAAAACATGTATGACAACCATTACGGAACCTCGTAACCTCGTTTCCTTTCCCAAGGGGGGAGGAATGTCACGAGTGCTAAATTGCACAAGTGACAATTGCGCCACGAAACGTGCCAAAACGATACTCTAACAATTTACGAAATCATATTATTTAAATTAAAGAAAAGAGCAGTGCTCTAGTTAATGCGGGGCTGGGTGCGTAAAAATGCGGGACTGATTCTTAAAACGAAATAATTTATTTTAAATCATAATTATTTTATTTCAAATATATAAAATAAATATAAAATAACATAAAATAAAATAAACTTCAAAGTTTAATGTTTTATAATAAAATTTGTAATAAAATCTTTGATAATAAAACCTTTGAAGATAAAATAATCTTAAAAACAAACTTTTCTCGCTTTTGCTGAAGCAAAGTCGTTAATCACGTTGGAAAAATCAGTCTTATGTGATATCTCTCTTTCTATTGACATCATCGCTAGTCCCACTAGTCTTTCTTGCGATGTATTTGAGCGTAAATAGTTTTTTATCAGTTTTAATTTTGAGAAGCTCCTTTCAGCAGTAGCAATTGTTACTGGTAGAGTTAATAAAATTCTAATCGCAATATAAATATTTGGATAGACTAGATTTAATTTTAATTCAATCAGGTATTTCAGTATATCTAAAAGACAACTTTGATTGTTTTCTGGAACTACTTGAATAAAAGATAGCAATTCTTCAAATAGATCTGTTCCATCTATATCAGAAATCTGTCCATCTTGTAAAAGAATATGAAAGTTATTGCAGTTTTTTAACAAGTCTTCTTTAGATAAATTTTTTATTTTTTTGAAATTATAAAGAAATCCAAAGTTATTCCTGAGATCTTCGTACAGCTTAAAACGTTCTTTAAATGATTCAATGGCTTGGTCGATAACGAGGAGAAAATATTCTATGCGGAATTGTTCTTCTTCATTTTTTATTGACTCATCGACGCTTTCATAATCAAATTGTCGTTTCGATCTATCAACTCGTCTTTGAGGGAAATGAGGAATTATATTATTTTCTTCTGCAATAACTTTCGCAGTTCTCATACACTCGTGATATCCATTTTCTCTAAAAGTTGATAATTCTTTGAGTAGATTATCAAGAAATGATATAGCCACATCCATTTACATATCATTTTGCTGAAGTATTTTACTTACTCTGTTAACTTTTACAAGTAATTCATACCATATAATAGTTGATAATATGAATGGAAAAGATTGAATTTCTTTCAACAAAGAAGTAGCTTCGCTATAAGTTTTCGCATCTTTAGGTTCGGTTAAAATTTCTTCAAATATTTGTACAAACTCTTTGATTTGGAACCGTACAGCTTTTACACTTTCTACGCGGTATTCCCATCGAGTATCAGATAGTGTTTTTGGTGTAAGCTTTAAACGTTTCTTGGCTATATCATATCTATAGTTAGAAGCTGACAAAAATGTGTAAAGTCGTTGAATTACATCAAAAAATGTAACAGCCTTCGGAGAAACGTTAGCAATATCTGCCAACACGAGATTTAAATTATGACAGCCACATGGTGTAAAAAAAGCTTTTCGGTTCTCTCGTAAAAGTTGGGCTTGCACACCGGATTTGAATCCTTTCATGTTTGCTCCATTATCATATCCTTGTCCCCTGCAGTTTGTAAAATCAAGTCCACAGTCATTCAGATGTTGTTTTAGAGTTGTAGCCAATCCTAATCCGCTAGTATCTTTAACCACCAAAAACCTAGTAAAACTTTCACATATTTGTATTTCACTATTGTGTATATAAATATATCGTATGATGCAGGAAAGTTGCTCCTCGTGAGAAGTATCTGGGGTGCAATCCAAAATAACAGAAAAATACTTAGCAGCTTTTATTCGATCGATCAGAGTATTTCTGATTCGATTACCCATCAGAGATATAAGTTCGTTTTGTATATCTTTGCTTAAATAGGTAACTCCATGTCTTGCTTCTTTAACATAACTTACATGTTCCATTAGGATAGAATCATACCGAGCCATAAGTTCTACAAGGCCTAAAAAATTCCCATTATTTGGTGTATTCAGCAAATCAGATGAACCTCTTAATGTCATATTATGTTCGGCTAGATATTGAATAATGGCTATTAGTTTTTCCAAAATATTTCTCCATTTCTGTTTTTCCTTAATATAAAGTTTTTCAGACAAATGAACAACATTAGAATGATTTATAGCTCTAAAACGAGCTTCAGTCCATGTATCCATTGCTTTAAAGTGTGTTTTGGATACTTCGTGTCGTTTTAGTTTCTCAGATGTATGCTGCCAATCATTAAATCCATGTGTTTCAAGCTGGCCTGATCCACTTTTAAATAATTTGCAGGGAAAACAAAAGATAGCATTTTTCTCCTTTGAATACACTAACCATTGTCTATCAATTAGCTCACCATTGCTCATTTTCCTTGTGTAATATACTTCCGAAAAGTTTCTATTTTTATGATCTTTTGGAAAATAATTCAAACAAATTTTACGGGGTACTTTTTCCATTACAAAATTTTTTTCAGCTACCGTGAGATTTACTGGCCATGTGCCTATATCTTCAAGTTTTTGATATTCATCTATGTATTCAGTTAATATTTTTTCTTCCTTTCGAGTATCCTGCAAAAATTTTTTTTAAATTAATTAAAATTCAAAGACTACGAGCCAAAAATATTTAATCAACAAAAAAACATTTAAACATTAAACAAACGTTTCGACCTCTGTTGGGCCATTATCAATGTTAAAAACTTTATATAAAAACTATAACTTTATTTATAATTATTTTAAATTATTTTAAATTACTTTTGTTTTTAGTGTAATAATTAACACTTACATTATTGTTATCTGTATATTTTAGAAGTTCATCATTTTGCAAATGTGTATCAGATGTTTCTTGAGTAGGCTTGTTTTCTTCTGTATTAATATTATCTCTTTTCAGAAATTTATGCATGGATCCTTTTTGACTATTAATAAATTCTTCTTGAGCTTTGCGTTTTCTCTCCTTTTCTGCGCCACTTACATATTTTCTTCCAATATCTCTTTCTCTCATGATGATCTTGTCCTTAGTTGTTCTTATAAACAATGTTGAATCTTTTTCTTCTGTTTAAAATAGACTATTTTAAATAGTATTTACTTTTTCACTACAAACTACAATCATTACTTATCGTATATCACAACCATATATTTAATATTACATATTAGGTACATTCAGAACTACCGCTCACTAAGCGCTCAGTCAGTGAGCTCTTTCATCTGATTGGCACATTCAGTTGTCATTGTTGACATTCGGTCTGTTTTCTGTACTTGCACTAGACTGCATTAAGGTGCAGTCACATACAACCGTCAAGCAGCGGAAGCAGCAACCAATTAGCGAGGCGATATGAGTAGAGAGCCTCACAAGAAGAGAGTGGCAAATTGCATCACGTGAATGCCCGAGCCCAATCAGGACGGGGGTCACATGACCAGTTTTCTCCAATCTCTTCTGTGCCTATGGAGCTTTGATGCCCGTGTCCAATCAGAGGAGACGGGTCACGTGATGCAATTTGCCACTCTCTCCCTGTGAGGCTCTCTAGATATGAGTAGTGGCGCAAAAAATATTTATTTCGCCACTGGACGGCAAAGCGTCGGAAACCGTGTAAATTCGCCCTCACTTATGACTCCTATACACTGGACGCGGAAACGCTTGCCGTGCGTTCCTAACCAATAGGTCTTTCCTTTATTCCTGCACTGTCTGAACTGGTACACACGGTGCAGGAATAAAGAACAGATTTAATCTTAGCCGCACGTGTGGAAGTCAGTGGAATGGTACGTTTCCACTGAGCGCGTCACGCATCGCGTCATGAAAGAGAGAAAGAGATAAGATTATATAAATACACAATACCTCTCTTTCTCTCCTTCGACGACGCGACGCGTGACGCGCTCAGTGGAACCTTACCCGAAGTGAGAGATCTAACTATTTTCTATCTCGTCATGTTGTTACAATAAGTAAAACGCGGGGCTGATCAAAACGCGGGGCCGCGTGCGCTGCACCGTCGCACATAGCCTAAAGCCGGCCCTGGAAAAGAGTATCAATTAATATAAAAGAAGACCCTGAGAAATACAGACTCAGATGTTGCGCGAATATTGGTCTCGTCTGAAAAGCGAAAACCTGACGGATCAGCGCGGACAGCCCAAGGCTGACCCCCAAAATATCGAATATAAGCGCGACCCCATCTGCGGTCGAGGGTTAGAAAATCGGTCAAGATAATAAGCATAACGCGTCGCGTCACGCCGTTCGAATCATTACAGTAAATATATCGCGACGCCAATACGATAAGTGAAGTGTAATTGTAAATCAATACAACTTGTGACTTGTAGAAATAAATGTATTATATTTTACTCAAATCTACAAGATAGTGTTAAATTGTGCGATCCTTCCTCGAGTCCTGCGTGGATCCCGGAACGTGCTGTACAGCGGTACAACAGTGCACTTACGATTCTGCAATACCAGGGCCAAATAATAATCCTTCCTCGTCTTCATATAACTGGTTTTTCATCAATTTCTCCAATGACAGAGCTGTTCTGGCTTCTCTTAATGATTCTGACGTGATGATTTGCACTGGTAAGCGCTTAAAGACCCGTGCGCCATTAGGTATTTGAGCTCATAGCTCCGTTAATACTGCGAATATAAAAAAAAACCTTTTACAGAGATATTTTACACATATGGAGGAATCAAAATAAATAAAAAAAAATTTCGATTTTTTTGAAGCCTGTAAAGGTGAATCCCCCCTTAATAAGCAACGAGCAACTAACGAAACCCTTCGATGGTCACTAAGGATCATTAACTTGTCAATATATGTCACGGTCAGCGTCATTAGTGTTGAATTCCTTATTTCATCTTTAATAACTTTTTAACGTGGATAACTGTTAAACCTTCCGAAGTTTGCAGGAAATGTAGTGGGAAAACAAGTACGTTTGCCGCAGGTCTACGTTAAGTAATAATTCCATATTGAAAAGAGGAATCAAATGCCAACTGAAAATCAGTGTCACAAGTTCTGTTATGATAATATGGAGAAGAATATTTTACATTCCGAAGAATGGTTGACGGAAACGATGATAGTTTATAGATAGTTTTTATGCGCTACTCGAAAGAAATTCTGATTATGCACCTCGACCTGTACGGTTGACAATATTTCGCGATCGGATTGTTCCACTCGATAATTCGATGGTCCATACCTCATATCATTGATGATGTACAGAATTATGTTTGAAACGTATCAGCAACAAATTCTGAAAAATAAAGTAGCGAACGCATTGACTAATGCTATCTGCGTGTACGATGAGCGTAACCGTTGCAACATTCTAGCGGTTAGAAGATCTGTCGGAGAACGCTTCGAAGAACGAATACAACAAGATGTTTGGGAATTTTTCACGGCTCTAATGTCGACGTATTCCTAAATCTATGATGTATTAGAACTCGATTTGAAGCACGTAACATCTTGTTTAAATGCCAAATGTAATTACAGTGTAACTACGCTGGAAAACAGTTGTTTACTGATATTATCTATACAGTCGACATTAAAAAGGAAAAAGGTATCACTCTGCAAACTTTGATTGATTTCGAATTTTCAAAATAGGAAACGATAAATGACAATTGTAAGGAATGTAAGGGTACCGTTCTGAAAAAGAAAACCGTATTCGAATTGACCTTATCCGTTTTAGTAATACAGCTCAATTTATACACTTTTGTAAACGGTACTTCTAAAAAAATTATCGATAGTAATAAGCGCTATATTTCACGAGGGCGAAGAAATGAATCGTGGTCACTACATGTGTATGTTGGGAACAGGCAAAAAATCGGAATGGTATTACTCTAATGATTCTTTAAATATATTACACGTAAAGATTATAATTAAAAATTTATTCTGTTGCAATCGAAATAAATTTAGTTTATTTAGTATATTTACGATCTAGTTAATTTTGATGTACTTATCATTTATTAAATATAATTGAAACTGTCTTCTCTATTTATATATATCTAAAAAAAAGATATATTATTTACTTATTGTAACACGTATCGTTTGTACCATGAAAAAACTAACTACCATATATGGTTCAGTCTAAATATCAAGTTAAATTTTACCAAATAATTCTACCAAATGAAAAAGTAATGTCCAAGTGGTATTGTCTTCGCTAAATTTAAACTCTCAAGTAGTATTATTTTTAAAAATGCAAGTAGAATTATCTTTATGATGACTATAAGTCTGTTAGTCAATTTGGCGTAATGTAAATATAGTTCTCGGAAATATTAAATTTAATTACACACACACAATTCTAATAATATAGGTAATTATCGAAGTAAAGAAAGGCACACATAAATATGTGTTTATTATATCAATTTTTTATAGCCATTTATAAAAATTATATGTACAAATTACATACAATTTTTATAAATGGTTATTTTACATTCTTCGCTTCTTCCTCGTCCGTCTCTTCTTAGGCTAAAAGTCCAAAATGAAATAGTAATTAGTTCGTTAATTAATTTCACGAAGGGCT